GAACTCAGAGAAAACAATAGGAATCAAAAATGAGCCAAATCAATGCCTGTTCCAAATTTGGATGGCAGAGCAGACTTCACAGTTTGAGGTTCAATTGGTGTGACCACAGCCAAAACAAGGACACAGCCTCATGCACCTGGGGATGTCACCTAACCACAGGTTGAGGTGGGATGAGAGGGCTCCCTCTGCATGACCAGACACCTCACCTGTCAGAGGCACTGGTTGGAGCAGTCTCAGTCCCTGGGCTCCCTTCAGGGAGGGCTGCTTATACTAGCCCACTCTGCCTCCTTAACTCCAGGATCTGCCTCCAAACCACGACCATGTTGCTGCCCTGTCCCTGTCCCTGTCCCTTCCCTGCTCAGAGTGATCAACAATGTCCTTAAGTCCTCGAGTCCTTCAAAGTCACCCTTTCCTTTCATGGCCACATACCATGACCCAATCACTAGTCCCTCATTGAATTTACAGAAAGCCTGGGCTCTCACCTGCAGTACTGGTTCCCAGACACGGGGATGGGGTGTCTTACATTTTTCTGATCACCTTTTACTCTGAATTCTACAAATGCTCAATTCCTGATCCCTCTTGTGTTGGTCAGAATTCCTTAAGTGATGAGCAAAAGAAGCGGCTTTGCTTGCATAGGGAAGATTTACTGGAAAGCCTTCTCACTAAAGGTAGAGGTAGAGCTGGCTTCAGGTCCAGCTGAGTCGGACCCCCAAAGGCCACCAGACCCTTCTTTCCTTTGCTCTCTGTTCCTCTCTGTGTAGAAGCTCAGATTCTCTATTTGGCTCAACACACAGGGTGTCTCTAGTTCTCCATCTAGAATAGGTTCTCTCTTTAAAGCAAAGATTAAAAATCTCATCAAAGGGCTCTGATTGAGTGGTTTCAGATCAGCTGTCCATTCCTGTATCCACCAACTGTGGTCAGCAAAGTGGGTCCAGCCCCATCAATTGCATTGAGCAAATCCACAGCAGCCAACTGCCAACCAAATCACAGGGTTGGATTCTGCACTCCCAAGGAAGCAAAATTAATTCATGGGAGGCAGAACACTCTTAGATATTACACTGACTATGGCTTTCCAGACAACCAAGCACATAATAGATCTCTGTCTGTCTGTCTATCTATCTATCTAGTATTGAAATTTCACAGGGGAGCCAGGCCAGTGGTGCATGCCTATAATCTTAGCAACTAGGGAGGCTAAGGCAGGAGGATCATAAATTCAAGGCCAGCCTCAGCAGCTTATCCTACCCTAAAAGAAGTGGAGGAGAGGGGACTGGGGGTGCAGTTCAGTGGTAGAGCATCCCTGAGTTCAATCCCCAGTATCTCACAAAATTTTTTGTCCCATGGGGGAAAGAGGTCAATGAAGAAAACAATAAATAAAAAGGTTTGTCTTAGTCCATTCTCTGTTGCTATAACAAAAAAAAAAAAAAAAAGAAAAGAAATCTTGAAACCAGGCATGGCTTCAGAATCTGAAGAGGATCTTCTTGCTGCAAGATTACATGGCAGAGGATATTGCACAATGAGACAGAGCAAACAGGCCGGAAAGAGTTCACTTTTACAATAAAGCCATCCCTAAAATAACCCATTAATTCACAAATGGGTTAATCCCTGCCCTCATGACCCAATCACCCCCGAAGGCCCAACCTCTCAACACTGTGCACTGGGAATCAAGTTTCCAATGCTTGAAATTTGGGGCAAACATTCAAACCACAGCAGGCACCTTATGGGAATGAGGGGGGTGGGGGGCTGTGAAATTCTAGAGGATGGAGCACTTCTCAGAAGGACAGTACCATTCTGGGACCAAACAACATCCAGTCCAGCCTCCTACTTCCTGCTGCTGCTGACCTCTCCCAACCCTTTATCCACCACAGCGCCTCCTCCTTCCCCAAGTACCACTGACACAGGCTGCTGTGCATCCTGAACTCTCTCTGAAGATGGGAACAGCAAAGGATAATGACAGCACCGTTGCTAACTGTCATCTCATCACCATTCGCCGCCACTGTCCCTCCTGGCACCTGACCTAAGTCCACAGTCTTTGTCCCCTCTTCTCCCTCCTTCTCCTTTCTAGATCCCAGGCCCTAGCTCTCTTGCCCTTCCTCTGTTGTGGGATGCCAAACTCTTCTAGTGCTTTCTATGGCTTTATCTTAACAGAACAAGCTAGGGAAAGTGGAAAGGGCTGTCCAGAGGAAACCACAGAGGCCCAGGGGTTTTTTTAATTTATTTTTTAATTTTTGTTGTTAACATATTTCATTTATAGGGTCAAACCCAGATCTTTCCTCAGAGGCTCCTATGGGGGGGATGTGTAAAGGAAGTACTCCCAGGAGAATATGGTAAAGGCGGGAAACAGAACAGAGGGCAGAAAGATCCCAGCCTGGCCTGGTCCCTCAGGGAGGCTCGGGGTTTGTCCCACCTCCAGGCAAAGAAGCACCAATCAGTGGGTACTCAGGATGACCCTGGGGAGCTGGGAGAATACAAATTAGTGAATACTCTGGGATCTCAACTGTGCAAAAAGTAATCCTAGTTTCCTGAGAGCAGCTCTCTCTCCCAAGAGAGTTCCAGATTGGGGAGGGGATTTATTTGCAAAGGCAAGCCAGGTCAAGGCCACTGCTAAGGACTGAATGTTTTTATGCCCTCCCCAAATTCATACTGAAGCCCTAATCCCCAATGTGATGGTATCTGGAATCGGGGCCTTTGGGGGGTATTTAGGTTAGATGAGGACTTAAGAATAGCTCCCCATGATGCGATTGGTACCCTTATAATAAGAGGAAGCGGCCAGGGCCCTCTTGCCATGGGAGGACATAGCAAAAAGGCCACTATCTACAAACCAAGAGGACCCTCATGAGCACTGCACCGTGGCGGGCAGCCTAATTTCGGATTTCCCAACCTCTAGAAGAGTAAGAAATAAAGTCTGTTATTTAAGCTACCAGGGGTACAGAATTTTGTTATAGCAGCCAAGCTGAAAGACAGGCACACAGACTGCTTGCACAGGGAGGGATCTGGGCTGTGCAGGGCAGTGCAAGCCACATCGACTGTCCTACAGCTGCACACTTCCTTCTGGTCTGTCTCCAGCTCTTTGGGCCCTACACTGTCTCCTGGGCCAGGTCCCCAGTCAAGCCATCCTGCACATGCCCAGCTCCTTGCTTCCTCTGGCTGGGACCGAGCCCCTGCCCTGCTCTTGTCCATTGGTCTAAGTCCTTCAAGGTGCTCCGTAGCACCTTCCCCAGGAAGTCCCCTCCCTCGCCCCCTCAGATGCACTAACACTGGGGTTGCCTCACGCCCATCACAGATGGCTACTCCCAGCTCTCCTCCCCACCCTTTCAGCGCCCCCTGCAGGCTTCAAGGTTGGCCTTAAGGGCACAGCCTTTGCTGTCACTGTGAGGCAGCCCAAAGAGATGACCCACCCATGGGCTCAACAGAACTGTCTGACCTTTGGCTGGCTCATCAACTCTTTCTGGGCCCACCCATCCCTCCAAGTCCTGCTGAGCCCCAGGACCTGCTTCAGGGAGCCCTCTCTGACCAAGCCCATCTGGTTGGGGTCAGTAAAGCCATTTCCTGTCCCAGGACTTGGGATGGGGTTTCCACCCTGTCACCTTCAAATGAAAAAGTAGTTCTGGTCAGTTCTTCCTCAGTTTCCCCCACAAAGATTCCCCTGCACCAAGCTCTATGCTGAAGAGAAGAGAGAAGAAAAACGGGAGAAGAAGACAGGGCACACTCATCCATGGTGGACAGAAGGGCAGCCACAGAGCAGTCCAAACTAGTGAGACTGGGGCCTGTAGGACTTCAGAGCAGAGAGAGGGGGAAGCCAGAGCAGTCAAGAAGGCTGCTTGGGTATGGTGCAAGCCTGTAGTCCCAGCAACTCTGGAGGATGAGGCAGGAGGATCACGAGTTCAAAGCTAGCCTCAGCCACTTAACGAGGCCCAAAGCAACTCAGCTACTCAGCAAGACCCTGTCTCTAAAAACACAAACCAAACTGGGGTGGGGGTGGGGGGAGTCTGGGGATGTACTCAGTGGCTAAATGCCCCTGTGTTCAATTCCCATTGCAAAAAAAACAAAACAAAAAAAAAAAATGAGGTTCTTGAACTCAAGGTGAGTTCTCCAAGGCCTCTACCACCCTGGTGATACCTCTCCACACCTAATCACATTCCTGGAATGCTTGCCTCTTGGTCCTAGCAACTGATGCTTAAGCATTTAAACCCCTGCACCAGCCACCTGTCGGGAGCCTTCCTGAGGTTCTGAATCTGCTTTATGGTGCCAGAAGCCTTGCCCCTATCCCCACCACTTACCCCTGGTCATCCCAAGCAAGGGATTGGGGAATCTCTGGGGGTGGCCTGGCATTGTTGTTTCTGCAGTCATATTTTGGATTTTTGTTTCATTGTTGTTTAGCATTTTATTTGGATATAATTTCAAAGGTGTAGAAAAGTTGGAGAATGATCCAAATTGTATTCATATACCTTTTGCCCAGATTTACTAGTGATTTGACCCCATTTGCTTTATTATCCTTCCACAGATGTTTCTGCATCTGTGTTTCTGAACCATTGAAAAATAAGTTAAAAACATGATTGGAGGTGGGGGCTGGAAACAGAGCTCAGTTGGTAGAGTGCTTGCCTCACATGCACGAGGACCTAGGTTCAATCCTTAACACCCCCACCAAAAAATGACTCTCATTTTACCCTAAATGCGTATGTTTCTAATAACAAGAGGCTCTTACCTACCCACGGTGCAGTTACAAAATCGGAAAGCCTATATCATCTGAACAGGACTATTCTTTACCCTGGCAGCTAGGTCCAAATCACCTTGTCCCGCTAGGCTTGGGCCACTGCTCAGAGCTCCCTAGATACTTGGAATCTGCATGCGGCATTGGGAAGTGCTGATCCAGAGGATACAGGGAGAATCCCCATTCGATTCTCAGGCAGGGACTTTAGCCTGAGGTCCCCTCCTCCCTTTCCCTGTCCCTTGGCGGGGAGCTACCGCCCAGGCAGTGCTGGCGGGCAGACAAAAGGCATTACCTTGCTCTGCGGACGGTTGGGGAGCTGGGTCCCCTGGCTGTCGGGGCTGGAACCAATGCCCAGCTCCAGCTATAAATAACCCTGAGGGGGCGGGCCGTGGGCGGAGCCACCCCTACCCTCGGGGAGGCGGTGGAGAATGCCCCCAGTGCCCCGGGCCTCACCTCAGCCTCCGGGAGCAGCAGCTGAGGGACAAGCCTTCGGAGGGGCCTGGGAGGGACTTGCTGTCCTGGAGAGTGCGGGCTCTGGACCCTACCCTTTCGGCGCGGCATGGGGGGTCCCGCGGGGCTGCCAGGTCTCCTTGATGCCCCACAGCCCCTCCTCTACCTGCTGTGCCTGCTCTCATTGCTCCAAGTAAGTGCCTGCGGGTGGGCACCATGGTGGCCTCAGGAGCTCGGAGCTCCGCACTCGCCCTATTGGGACGGGGGAGTTCTTGGCGATCCCTGTGACCCAAGATGGGATGGAGATCTCGGGCTGGGTGAGGGGGCAGGTGGAGGGCAAATAAAACTAGCCAGCTAGGATGGAGACAGGCCCATGTGAATGAGGAGAGGGTTCTGGGGCCACACTCTAGTGACCAGGACCTGTCCTTCAAGACAAGAAATTCTCCGTCCACAACCCATTCTCTTTGCTCCCCCCATGGATCCTTCCTTCACTTCCCCTGCAGGACCCTTGATGTCCTTCTCCACCCTAGTTTATCTGGCCCTTTCCCCCAGCAGACCACCAGAGAGCTGCCTCCCACCCACCCACAGCTGCCTTGTCCCCACCCCTCCTCTGATGCCAAATGAGCCAGAGGACAGAGGGGCAGAAGAAATCCAGTCTAAGGGGTTATTAAGACTCTGGGCTTCCCCCATCCCACCCACCTCGACATTCTGGTCAGAGTCAGGGTCAGCCCAAGGGAGCTAGGGTGAAAAGAGGGAGGGAGCTAAAACAAAGAGCTGAGGAAGTTCGGCTTGAGACCAGGAAGGAGGGATTCCCAGAAATATGCAGGAGGAATCTCTTCCCATTTCACAGATGAGGAAACCAAGGCTCAGAAAGAAGGATGACCTATCCTCCGCCACACTTTTCAGGAAGAACTACAACATTAAAATAGGGCAGAGGGCAAAGAGGGACAGAGCCAGACTGAAAGTCAGGAGGCCTCTTCCTATCCGGGCTCTCCTGGGGACCAGCCTCAGGGGCAGTGTCTTGGCTCTCAATGTCCCTGTATGTATGAGGAGAATTTATTCATTCCACAGTCATGTAGTGAGCACCTACCAACTGTGGAAAGTGGCTTTCCCTAGAGGAGCCCTTTCAAATTCTTACTTTGCCCCTGAGTGTGTAACCTTGAACAAGCCAAACTTTCCTCGCCTCAGTTTTCTCATCAGTAAAATTAGGATGACATTGGTGCTTCCTGAAGTTAGTTGAGAAATAGTAGAGATAATGCAAGAGAAGTGTTTGGCACTGAGCTTGGTGTGGAGCAGGCACCCAGAAAATACGGGCTATGGTGTTGTGCCAGACAGGAAAACGCCAGAGGCCTTGTCCTCGTGGGGTCCCCTAATGGGCCTGGGAGTTGTGTACCATGCTGAGGTGGGTCAGTGTCCACACAGGCCTACCATCCTTTCTTCTTCTTCTTTCCAAAGTGCTACTAGGGGAATTAATTTTTTTTTTTTTTTTTTGTACCTGGGATTGAACTCAGTGGTGCTTACCACTGAGCCACATCCCACATCCCTCGTCCCCCCCACCCCACTCTTTATTTTCCACATTTTATTTAGAGACAGGATCTCACTAAGTTGCTGGAGCTGGCTTAGAACTTGCCATCTTCCTGCCTCAGCCTCCTGAGCTGCTGGGATTACAGGTGTGCACCACCATGCCTGGTGCCATAGTGCTACTAGAGATGGAACCCTTGGGCTCACACATGCTAGGCAAGTACTCGACCCCTGAGCTAACCTCCATCTCTTTTAAAATTTCTTTAGAGACAGGGTTTAGCTGGTATTAGAGGCATGTGCCCCTCTCTGTTAGGCCCTTTGAATGACACTGCAGAATGCATTTGGAGCAGGAGGAGTTTTCAGAGTGGGGTTCACCATTTATCCTTCTACCCGCAGAGGTGCCGGGCTTTAAGTCTCCTACCCATGTGTTCTCAGGATAGGGCTTCCTCTGTTACAGGGCTGGGGCCTTCAGAGAGGGCAAGGCAGTGCCCAGACACCCCCCTTTCTAACCCAATTCTTTTTTGTTTTTTTTAATGGTGCTGGGGATTGAACCCAGGGCCTTGTGCATGCAAGGCAAGCACTCTACCAACTGAGCTATATCCCCAGCACTCTAACCTGATTCTTGAGATTAAGTCAAAAAGATCAAATCAGACAAATGGCTCAGAGTAACAGGCGTAAGTTTAATGAAGGGATAGGAAAAGGGAAAGGGGACATGCTCAAGGGAGAGAGTGAGTCTTCTCAGGCCAGAGACCATGTGGCTCTCCTGCACTCCTGTTTTATTGGAGATCCTAAAGAAGTTTCCATAGAGTCCTGATAGCAAGATGACATCAGACTTCCAAGTCCCCACTGCCTTGACAACTCTAGGCCAATTTGGCCCCTGCTGAGTGGTTCTAATTGGATTCCTAACCAGAGATTCTTACAGATTTTATGATTAGGAGGAATTATTCTCATTATTCTCATCTTCCTGAGTTTCAGGATTTGATCTTTGAAAAGGGTCACAAAAGTCTCCCCACTCAGAGAAACTTGGGGACCTTTTATTGACATTATTTGGGGTCTCCGTTTCTCCTGCAGTTAACAGGTAGTTTGTTGAGCCAGGTAAATTGCTTTTGGGAAAAGAAGCAAGTGGGGGGGGGGGTCAGCACAGTGGGCCCATTGGGCCCATTTTATACAATTATTCCCTTAACCTCGTTTTCCCACCATCCTAATCTGTCTGTCCCCTGTCACCATGAGAGCTGGGGTCCAGAGAATGGGGTCATGATGGCAGCTGCCCAAGCTTGTTAGAGTGAGAGAGCTTCCATTCACTGCTTCAGAGCCTGGTGGGGGGTGGGAGGGAGGGAGGGTGCCCTGTGTTCTGGAGATGTCAGAACCCAAGACCTCAGAGGCTACTGTGACTTCCAAGTCAGCTCAGGCCCTGTCCCCACATCTCCTGATGACCTCAGACTGAGCTAGAAACTACTTCCTTGCCCAAAGTTACTCAGCATGTAACCAGCTGGAGAGAAACTACACCTTAGTTTCTCTGCCCAAAGCCCAGCCTTCCTCACCCTGAGCCTTTGTGGTAATAGGATTTATTTCTGGGTCCTTGGCCAAGTATTCTGAGATTTCTGCTCGCTGGGAAATGAGAACCTGAGAGGAACAGTCAGTGGGGAGGGATGGGCAGCCCAGGGGGAGCCTGGCTCCCAGCCTTCTCACCCATTCAACCTGCATTTAACAAGGACTTCACACTTCAGGGACACAGGATGTGAAAGCCCACCCATGGCTCCTGCCCTTGTGGAGTTCTGGCTCAGAAGGAAACCTGGCAGGAAGAATAACAAGGAAATAGTGTGCGTGTTTACAAACTGGAAATTGGATCTAAGAAAAAGTGAATAAAGGTGTGAGAACCCTGACAGGAGTCTGGTGGGAGGCGACAGGTCCAGCTGGAGTGGAGTGGAGGAGCTGTTGGAGAGGAGGGCTGGGGAAGTGAGCAAGGGATCTGAAATGTATCGCTGGGGCATGCAGAGCTCTCTAAACCCAGGAGGCGCCTGGTCTGATTGGCACTGTAGAATTGCCAGCTGGTCGCTGTGAGAGGAGACGCCACCATGGTCCAGTTCACAATCCCACAGCCTGGTAGAATTCACCAAGCCTTGATTCTGGTGCTCCTGGTTCCCCTGGAGGGTTTATGGGGGCTGCTTGGGAGAGGGCACTATAGCTGTGCTCTGTGCTGTATGCTGAGCGCTGTGCTAAGCCCTCCTCAAACACTGGAGAGGTTATCTGCAGATCGGAAATGGAGGTTGCCATGCGGATGAAACGTTCCAAATCCAAAATGTATTAAGCAAAATGGCTTTTGGGATTTCGGATTAGGGATGCTCAAAGTCCAAATATTCCAAAATCCAGAAAAACTCCAAAATCCGAAATACTTCTGATCCCAAGTTTTTCAGATAAGGGGTACTCAACCTGGATACACAAAGCCCTGAGTCTAACCCTTCCAACAACTTACTCACCTCTCTGTGGAGGCTCCCCTGGAGCCTATCAATCCCTCTCATCCAGCCCCTCACCTTTGGACAGGAATCCCCTCCCCAGGGTCGCTTTCCCCAGGGCCTTGCTTCTGTGGGGGCCACCTGCCCCAGAAGGCTCAGCAATGAAAGAAGAGAATTCAGGGAAGTCCTGGCAGTGGCCGCCAGCCACGGGAACCTGGAAGCTCAGGACAGCTCAGCCCCAAGTCCATGGCCTTGCATGCCCTCCCCTCCCCCTAGCACACAGGCAGACCTGCAGAGCCTGGTGCTCAGGGACCCTGGCCAGAGCAAAGTCATCTAATGACTTTTCCCCAAAATTCAACTCCCTCATGAATGTTTTCTAACCTAATCAACCAATTTGGTCTGTTTTTGCCATTTTGTTAGAGTTTAAGTTTTTTGTTGTTGTTTTGGGTTTTGTTTTGTTTTTTTTTTTCTTTTTAATTCGTCTGAGGGCACTGCCTACTTCATTCTGTATTCTCGGAAGTCTCAAATTTGCAGAGGTTTACAAATAATGGGACTATTCTGCATCCTCTTCACTGACATTTTGTACTTTATCTAATTGCAAACATTTTAAGGCCTCCTCGGCCGGATTGTCTAAAGTCACTTTATTCAGAATTCTAATTTTTTAAGATGTCATTTCCAATGTGCAGGGGGTGGGGGGAAGGCTAGCTCGCTTGAATCAGCTTATTTTGTCTGTTTTACTGAATGGCTGACACGGCAGGTCACTGACATGGGTCACCTATCTACAGCTTCAGAACAACCCAAGAGATAAGACCATCCTTATCCCCATTTTTCAGAAGAAGCTGAGGTGAGGTCCCAATGTCACTGGGCTGGTAAAGGGCAAGGCCAGGACTCCAATCAGACAGCCCCAGTCCAGATTCTCTTCCCTTAACCAAAATTTAATTTTAATATTAGACTATTTTTAGAACATTCAGACAGAAGCCAAAACAAACCAAAGAGTAACGATTAGGCAAAGATGAGTTGATCATTAAGGAGATGGTTTTAGCCTAAGTGACTTGTTGAGGACCTCTGATGGCCAGTGCCAGCCCTTCTTCCCCTCCTAGGCCCAGGTATGGGAGAGGGGCAGAGAGGAGAGGAAGAGTCCTGGGCTTTCAGAGGGAAAGAGAAGAGCAGAAGGAGGAGAACATGGAAGCTTCCCCAGGAGCCTTGGAGGCTGAGGGGG